TAGATAAGTGCTGTCCAATAGATCTTTCAGCAATGGTGGAAATGTTTTATATCCTACACTGCCCAATACCCACCTAGAGCTATTAAACACTTGAAATGTGGGACTCAAATTGTCAGTTTTATTTAATGTCAGTGAATTCAAATTTAAGTGATATAGCCACCTTCCCCACCGTTACTTCCTTTTGCAATTCTCTAGAAGGAATTGTGACTGCAATTAGCAGTAGGAGTTGGTTGCTAGTGACACTGAGCTTTTTGCTCTCATTTATTTATTCATAATGTAAATATTGCAAGGACCGCATAAGAATTCCTGGTAATGTGGCAGTGAGCAAGACGCATGGTCTCTGTTCTCAGAGGGCTTACAGTCTAGTATGGGAGACACTTATTAACCCAATAACTATCGAGCTCGTTAATTGATTAAGACTGTGATGACTTACAAGAGAGAAATGCTAGAGGCTATGAGAGTATAAAATGGGGGCTATACTTTCTTGTCAGATTAGTCAGAAAGTTTAATCAGAGTTTCGTTTGTTCACTAAAACAAGAAAAGCATGAGACAGCTTCCCTTCCCCAAGTTCAAGGCTGGGTCAAGTTGGCTGCAGGACCCAGGGCTCTCAGAGTAGAAGTGTGCCTTGCCATGACCTCCAAAGATGTGGGGTCTGTCTGATTAAGCTGCACGCATACCCACACTGCAAACTTCTGAACTTGAGCAAGCAGATTCTGTCTTAAACTATGCAGTTGTGATGATGTCAGTCACAGATAAGATGTGAGAAGAAGGGTGCAAATGTTTACAGGATATTGCATTTCCTCTCTAATATATGTTTTGACAGTGCTGTTTGGGCTCCAGCCCCAGCTTTTTCCTCTCTGCTCTTACAAATTTGTATTTGGTCTATTCAAGCAACGGTGTGGAAATCAGTCCTGACATCCCAGACAGACAAAATGAGACACATGACAGCAAAACATATGGCTCAAATAGACATCCTTATATGGCCAACACAGACCATATTCCCAGAAATTCATAGATGGAAAACACCACCTGCAGCTAAAGCCAAAAAACAAAGAGTTGACACGACAAAAAGAGCAATATGCTACGTAAATGGTGCTGCTTTAAAAATGTAGGGAGATAGCCAACTGTATTTGAATTTAAAAAGATGGGGAAAAAATGTCCTTAGAAAGTGCTATGGCGGTAAGCATTGCTTTGCTAACACAGTCACTGGCGGAGTTGCCATATCTTAAAAGCGTTCAAATTCTAAATGCTTTCTCTGTTTATTACAAATGTATGTGCTATTCAGAACTCTGAATGTGTTTTAATGCTTTCGGATATCTGCCTGCATATTTATCTTAATACGGTGCCATCTGAAAACATGCAGTAGTCCTTTCATTATTAAGTTAAAAGAATCTTGTATATCTGTTACAATATTTTATCTTTGCTACTCTTTTTGTAGCCAGTCTGAATGCCTTCTTTATGGGATAAAAAATTGATGTGCTGTTTTACCTGTACATCACACATGAAATAGTTCATGTATTGCACTTGTACTATTTCATGTTCCTGAAGTTGACTCTTTTGATATCTAGATTTATAAAGTTTACTTTGTTTTAACTTCTTCCAATACTTGCTTGCATCTTTATCTCCAGATATAAGATGCCTGTGTAGAATCAAATGTTTTCCCCCTAGATAATTTATCCTCACACATGTCCTGAGTAGTGTCATTTTTCTAACTATCTTTCTTTTTTTCTTCCTTTATTTTAACCTGGGTTTACACTGACCAGTGCTCAGTGGCTATAATGAGTATTCTAAGGGGAAGATAATTTATAGTAATTAAGTTTATCATTGTCCTATTTGACTTGGAGGGCATAAACCTTTGTGTATCACTTATGTCATTTCTTACAATCATACAGTTCTAACATAAAGGATGGGCTTGAGGGGAAATGAGTATGTATTTGTGAATAATAGATTCATAATTGTACTACATCACTATTCTTTATAATAAAGTCATTATTAGATATTTTATGCTCATTTATTCTGTTTATCATTTTCCAAGTCCATGTTCATCCTTATTACACACTTTTATGTTTTGTGTTTGAGAATTAGTTTGTAATTCCTGAATAAAAGATGCTATTCAAATTTAAAGATTACTGTTTTAATTCCCACATTTCATTAGCATTGGCCAAGTCATTAGGAGCCTAAGGCAATCAGGAAGCAGTTTCTGTCTTATTTACTGTGTAAATGATAGGATAAACTTATTTACATTTTATTCCAATGTGTCTTAATATTGATATTTTCAGTAACCATTTTTTGGTCTTCTCTTTGCTCAAATTTTGTTTTTGCTCAAAAACTATTTTTCTTCTTTTAAAAACACTCAACTTCAGGTGAAGTTGCATGGATAATTTTTTTTTGTAGTCTAGAATTTTTCTTAGGTGTTTTTTTTTTTTTTATGTTGCTATTTTTGTAAATTTGTCAGTGTGACACTAGAATGCACTGTCCCTACTGAAAACCAGGCAGGAAAGCATGTCAGGCATCACCAGTTTGAAGCAACTAGTCACACATTCATCTTGGAAATTCCTAACTTAACCTATCATGTTGCAAAAATCATTATCGAAATAATTCATTGCTATCGACTTTTCTTTTAAATATTTCCCCATTTGTTATATTTCTTATACTTCAATTAAAATATTCTCCATATTTCCCCACATTTCAACTTTTAAAAATGTGATCTCATTTTTTTCCCTTGTTTTGTGATGCTGTCATTTATTATCACATGTTCTTTCTTTTGCTCAAGGCTTGGGTTTATATGTGCCAAGATTCATGGTTGCCTTCCTTGATTTTGACTAACCTTTCCGGTTTGTGGGTGAAACTTGGGGGCCATTAGAGTGATATATTTTCATTGTGTCTCTCCTAAACTTGTCCTCCCCAGGAGGCCATTATTTCTTATACTTTATCTTCTACTTTACCTTCTGCTTTTCTTAGATTTCTAATGTAAACAGTGCCTCTAAGTGTGTATTGGTAGCTTTAAAGAGCTTAATTTGCATATTTTCCTCTTATCTCAGTACTTGTGTTAACTTGTTGCTTTTTTATGAGTAACAAAATGTTTATCTGACTGATTTTTTTTTCTCTCTTCCTTACTAGTATATTCTGAAAAAATAATTCTTACATTTTTGTTTTTGTTTAATGATTAAATTTCTAATGTAAACAGTGCCTCTAAGTGTGTATTGGTAGCTTTAAAGAGCTTAATTTGCATATTTTCCTCTTATCTCAGTACTTGTGTTAACTTGTTGCTTTTTTATGAGTAACAAAATGTTTATCTGACTGATTTTTTTTCTCTCTTCCTTACTAGTATATTCTGAAAAAAATAATTCTTACATTTTTGTTTTTGTTTAATGATTAACTGCCTTCAGGGACGGAGATGTTAGTGTTCAAACCTAAGCGATAAACACTGCATCTCTATTTGGGTGAGATTGTAATGTTCTTCATTTTTTAATAGGAATTACATTTAATAGATTATCTCAATAAGAGGATCTTACGTATGAGCTAATGACCATTTATTTAACTGGGTAACTTACCCTAGATTGCAGAAGTATTTATTGCAACAACAGATGTATTTACCCACCCAAACTTTCTTGTCTTTCGCTGGTGTGAAATTAGTTTAAGGATGGTGGCATCTTTCCCTTTTTAATAACAAGTCAGGTCTCTTTTATTAAGTGACCCAAATTTTGTTGAACGCGGCCACTACAGGCCACGTATTTCTCCCTCCAACGTGATTTCTGGCTCAGAAGCGAGGGAGTTTTGAACCTACCTCTGACTTGTATAGAAAGCTCTTACCCTTGTGGCTTTAACGTTGGCTCTAGAAATACTTTAGGACTCGTCCTCTTGGAGGGTCAATATTCGCGAGACCGTTTTAAGGATCTTGGCCTTGATTCCTCTGCAAATGTGGCTGCACCCGCCGCGCTTCTCGGGAGAGCTCTCCCTCCGGAGGGTCCCCTCCAGTCACTTCCTCAGTCCCCCCATCTCAGTAACCTACGCCTGTCACCTGCGGGTCCCGGCCCCTCTCCCGCGGGGCCGGTGCGCCCTCCCCTCCCCTGC